ATTACGGAAGGCGTCGAGATTCTATCATTACTCACTATCTCGTAATCATTAGAACATACTATGATTTTCAAATATTGGATATTATCATCGTTGCATTTCTCATTCAAGTTACTGTACGAATGTTTGCACAGCTCAAAATGCATAATCAATGGCATAAAAATCAAAGCATATGGATGAAGTAGGCACTTCTCGCATTAACTTAAGAAAAAATATTGGGAAATCGATTACTATTCAACCATTGAAAAGTTTCCATAAAGAATAGCATCTTTGTTATTGTTGTTCATAGTACGGATAAGTAAAAATGTGACTGATTTCTTGTCAGACGATCACCAAGCTTTTATATTAAATAGATATTAGCCCATTTTACATACATCTTGCATATGATTAGTTCTAAAAATATTTTGACCCGTGTTTGAATAATTTGTTTCATATTAGTGAATAGAATGACAAAACATTCTCCAATGAAATCAGTCTATCAGTCATGATGGTCAACGTTTTTGGTTTTCTTTTCCCTGGCCCATGATTGAAATAATAATTATGAGATTGTATTATACAATGCTGAAAGATGAGTTTTTCGTCATCTTATATCACAATTCATTTTTCTTTTGAGTAATATTATTTGTGCATTTCTGTAAAGTTCTAATCCCATTTGCAGTTCGATCAAGCGAATTTCTGCTCAGTCCTCTTTAAAAATATAGAATACCAATTCAGTCACATTTCGTGTTCAATAAAGTCGCTAAATAAATCTCTTGGCATTTTTATCAGCATAATCTTATGTTTACAGCAAGCTACTGAGTATGGCTTTTGCCGAGAGTTTGAATCTTCGTCGGTGCAGTAGTCTAATCGATGATAAGAGACTGAATCAGCCCGTACATCGGCATAGTTCATTCTTCTTTTGTTTGACTCTATAACAGTCAAATCAACTCTTCGATTAGTCATATCTTCCTCCTAAATACACCAGTAATCGATATTATTTATTAACTCTATGCTCAATATACCTTCCACACTACATTCGCTTTTGTTATCTCTCATGTCTGTGAGGAATACATGCTATAAATACTTGGAAATACAAAAAGTTCCATGAAAAACTACAATACTAAACTATTATTCAATTTTGTTTTGATAGCATGACTTCGTATCAAAGTGAGTTGAGAAAATATAATAAGAATACTATAACAAATCTTGACTTAATAGGATAGTCTGCTCCATACTTCCTCACCGATATAACGTTCAAGATAAATAAAAGGCTTTTGATTTGCAAAAAAACCACTCATATGCTCAATTTTACAAACAAAAAAACATTCAAAAACTATTCAAAAATGAAGATCGGCCAATTACCGTTACCGGTTACAATTCTGAATTGCAATATCATCATATTCGTCTGCTCCTCTACTAGCTTTCTGGAATATCTTGAAAGGAGCGGTCAACTCTCAGACCTTGTATAATTATGACACTAATGCTATTCTGCAGTCGTTGCACAAAAAGAAAGATTAATTATGATGTTACGATAACTGACAAATTACTTGGTATCTGTTTTTGAAAGAATCTCAGTGCTTGTTCCAACTCATCCTTCTCTTCATACACAAGACCCATGTTCTCGTAGGTCATTGCAATATTGGGATGTTGAGCAGGAAGTGACTTCAAGCTGATTTCAAGTGATCGATTGTAATGCTCCAATGTGAGATCATAATCACCGAGATAATAATGAACAAGACCAATATTGTTGTACGATCCACCCAAATTAGGATGATCCGCTGGCAGATGCTTCTTCCTAATAGCAAGTGACTTCTCATAGAAGTAGAGCGCTTCCAAATACTTCTGCTGTTCTTGATTGATGAGGCCAATGTTGTTGTAAAATGAGGCCATATGTGGGTGATTCTCATCGTGTGCTTGTTTGAAGAGTGACACGGCTCGATTGTACGATTCGAGTGCTCGACTACGATCACCTTTATTTCGATGAACAATACCGATGCTGTTGTGTGTGTTCCCAATTCCCACATGATCGGATGGACGAGTTCGCATATCGATCTCGAGTGATTTNAATAAAATCAGCGAAATTTCAGCTGAATTTGCCATATCTTAAGAGAGTTACACATCAAAAAAAGTAAAAAATCTCGCGTGACAATTAGTGTGTCAACTAGTTTTTTAATATTTATTTCATATTTTATATTAATAAAAACTAGCATAACTTTCTTATCGTCTTTGACCACTTTTATCTCCCATTCACTAACTCTCATTCAACATCAACCCGATCAATTTTAGATGCGTCGTTACATCCCAAAATCGTTTTTAATCTCGCGTGACAGCAATTCGAGGATTGACTGTACATATAGTATACAGAAAAAGTGTCAAAAGAAATGCCATGGAAGAATCAATCAGTTTTATATCCGATAAGTACAAGCTGTTATCTATAACATTATCAACTTTTCAAGCTCAAATGAAAGGAGAACCAATCGGTAATATGGTATCTTCTTCCAATATGTGGCAGTAACGATAAGATTATTTAATCTTATGTTCCTAATATTTCAAGACTCTTTCGAGATAAATTTGCGATGTTTTGTGTGATAGTGAGAACTAACTAGAGGATCCTACTCTAAAAAAATCATAAAAATTGAACAAGAGAGACTTGAGATTTGAATCTTTTACATATAAGAATATAACAGTACAGTAATTTTGCCATTCACTCATATATATTAGTTACTACTGATTTATTATTCAAATATCATATTGCAAAAGTTACACGTGACAATCCAACTTTAACTGCATCAAAAGTATTAGCAGACGTGATATTTAAATATGGAACATCAAAACAGATATTAACTGACAATGGTACACATTTGACTGCTGCACTAGTTAATTCTATTGTCTTTATGTGATTTTTGTGAACGATTTGTTGTACTAGTGTGTGCATTAGCTTAGCATCATATGTATCAACAAGAAAGTAAATTGGCATAAACAATTATCGAAAGTGATATTAGTCTATAAAAATTTCATGAAAACATTTTGATGTTAATCCTATTAATGCAGTTTATTGCATTGGAAATTTTACTTTATATAAAAACGTCAAGAATTAAATCAAACATTAGCACCAAAATACGCTGATTGATATCAAAAAATTCAACAGCTAAACAACTCCATATGTCGAGTACAACACTCTAATGTTTTACATGAAATTACAAACGTACAAACTAACCAGATAAGCCAATGTTATCAATGTACACAAAATGAATAAATGCAAAGATATATATGCACAACAGCTTTTCAGATAATAGATAAGTTGAGATTGATAAAGAGGGATCCATGTTCCTCACGTCACTCACAGAATTCTCTTATACCGTACATTGAAGTAGACGTTATTTTATTTTATTTTAAATAGATGTTGCTATTTTTCATATATTTCTGCGTAATGTTGTGTTGCATGAATTTTCTTGCGGATCATGTAATTTCTAATTTTAATGACCACCGATATAGATTTAAAAAGTACTCTAGAACTTATTCATCTTCTTCTTCGTTCCTGTGTGTATATCTACGTCCTTCTGTTCTAGTACAAGTCAGTATGGGTGAGGGTGTATTTTCAATCAAACCCATCTACGGGTATAGATATGAAGGTATAGTGGTATAGGTGTAGATATCATGGTAAAAGCATAGGTTGAAAGTATGAACGTGTCTATGAAGATGTAATGCTCTAGACCCAAGGCGTAAGTTAATGAATAGAATCTTAAAAGGTTCAGAAAAGAGTCCCTAAATATAGAATCGTAAAAAGTTCATCAAGAGATGTTTTTAGAGTATAGAAATCAGTAATTACGTTCACTAAAAATTCGATGATTGGCATAGACAGAAACATCTAAAATAATGTGAGCTTGATTCGATTCGATAACTCGAATAAAACTAATGTTCTGCTAATTAGTAATTTGGGTTTTGGCATGCTGCTCTGGATGTTAACTGGAGTCGTGCTAGGTGTGAGACTCAGTATACGGAAAATCAGTACCAAAGCCTAGATCTACATTCACACGCCCACAACTTAGTCACTCATTCGCATTCACACCAACAAAATCAAATTGTTCGTACAGTTCGATCAGTTCTTTTTATTAAAAGTGAATGCTTACATCCTGTTATTAGAAAAAGAATTTAGTTTTTAGTAGTGATTTTAACGATTTTTCATTCATATGATTTAGTGATTGTGTTTTACACACGTAAAACCTTCATAGCCATTGTTGACGATCTCCTGGCACTTTTGTCTATACACATTCAAACCGCCTATATACGGCATAAAGACCCTGGGTTTACCATCGATATTCGCCCCAACGTACCATGAGTTCGCCAGTGGAAAGAGCGTTGCATTGGCGATTTCATTAACATGCAGAACCCAGGTATTTTCTGCTTCTTCTTGCGGCTCGATCATATCGTAATGATGCGTACGAAGATATTTGAGAGATTCGGCTATCCAATCGGCATGTTGCTCAATAGAAGGAATCATATTGGTCAGTACTGATGGGCTGCCTGGACCGGTGATGATGAAGAGATTTGAAAAACCTGTCATCATTAAACTGAGATAGGTGCGAGGACCTTCTGCCCATTTGTCTTGTAGCGTCTTGCCTGAACGGCCACGAATATTAATTTGCAGCAAAGCTCCAGTCATTGCATCAAACCCTGTCGCAAACACAATATCACCCACTTCGTAGACTTTCTCCTTGATACGTATCCCACTGTGTGTTATCTCATCGATCGATCCGTTTCGAAGATCAACCAACGTCACATTGTTACGATTAAAAGTCTGAAAGTAGTCAGTGTCGACACACAGATGCTTGGTACATATTGGATAATTCTGTGGAATCAAAGCTTCAGCCACTTCTGGATTTTTTGACAGTTTCATGGATCTTAGTGCGTACGAATTCAGTTGCTGCATCATTGGATTCCTTGTTAACAAAGAGATCATTGAAACTCAACATAAAATCAAGACCACCATTTTGCCAACTTTTCTCCAATTCATGTTGGCGTTCCTATGGTGCGATAGCCATTGCTGAGATATTTCTTTTGTCTTTGGCCAAAAACCCAAGGGGTGACTCGGACATCTGTCGTCGGTACTCTGCATAATTCGATTTCCACCATTGTTCGTATTCGGCTTTGAGGGATCCATTGCGAAATGAAATACTGAAATTTGGAGTACGTTGAAAGACAAAGACATGATCTGCTTGTTCGGCGATAACCGGAATCGATTGTATGCCAGAAGAGCCGGTCCCAATAACGGCCACATGACGTCCATTAAAGCAAATATTTGTATGTGGCCATCGGCCTGTATGATATTGCTGACCGTTGAAAGTATCAAGTCCTTTGATTTGTGGAACACGAGCTGTCGAGAGACAACCAGTGGCCATTATGCAAAACTTGGCGACAATTTGATCTCCTTGATTTGTCTACAGCTCCCAACGTGAATGTGTCTCATCGAAGAAAGCTGCATTCACTCGAGTAGCGAGTTGAATATCTTTACGAAGATCAAATTCATCCACAACATAATTGAGATAACTCAAGATCTCTGGCTGAGAAGAAAATACTTCCGACCATTTCCATTTTTGTTGTAATTCTTCCGAAAATGAATAGGAGTATTGCATACTTTCAATATCACAACGTGCACCCGGGTAACGATTCCAATACCATGTACCACCAATACCATCACCAGCTTCAAGCACCTTTGCTGAAAAACCATATTCACGTAAGCGGTACAACATGTAAATTCCTGAGAAGCCAGCACTTACGATTACTGCGTCCAGCATCTTCGCTAATATTGTGTCACTATCCATGTCTATCTCTGTGCTCTTTATGCCAATAACACAAGTCGATGTAGTAGTAAAGAATAAAACTACCGCGAGGCAATGTAGTAATGAAGAATAAAGCTACCATGGGTTAGTGTATATATATTCTATTATTATCAGGCAAAGAATAGGAAGGAAAGGCTCGAATGATAAGAACAAAAATACCATGAAGAAAAAAAACTCAATAGTAAGTGGAGCTATATATAAGACTAGAATGTCATCGTGCTCTACCACAACTCGTATAAAAAAAACTATTAGCATTACATAATACAATGGGAGTTCTATCAAGAATGCATGAGTTCCATTGCCAAATCGGCTCATCATCATGAAAACTAAACCATCATCGTAATATAACAAAATGACCTTTCTCAAATTACGACGAATCCAACCAGCAATTAATGCAGAAAGTCGAAGCATAGATGTTACAAAAGAAAGAACGTTGAATGACGTCCACTCAATTATTTCCATAAAACATTGTTGATTAGCTGTTGACGCGTCGAACGCTATACACGAGATTGTGTTTTCATCAAACTTTGGCGCTGTACAACTTCTTATAACATATAACAGTTGAGAGGTGTTACAGTATTCTTGAAGGTCATGAGCTCAGAATTAAATATTTCGATCTTTATTCGATCATTATCAATGAAATGTATCATGAAAGTTATATAGAAAAATAGTATTTATAACAGAAAAAGAAAGACGATACTTGTGGTTCTCGTTTTTTCTTCCTTACATGTACGCACATACATAGAAAAAAAAGAAAGAAAGGCATCGAGTATATTCTTTCTCCTCTGTTATAAATACTATTTTTCTATAGAACTTTCATGATAAATTTCATTGCTAATGATCGAATAAAGATCGAAATATCTGGGTAAATTTCTACTGTATCATATTGAGAATAGCTACATTTTATGAACAATGACCTTATATGAAAAATCAATGCCCTTGACAGTTAAGTTGGCCCACCAATTTGTGCAGAGTTCTTTCTAAAACAGATTATTGTAAAGTGTGGAATGCTGTTGAATTTCGTATACTTGTAAACTTTCTTCATTGCTTCGTTTGTCCCCAAAACCGATCATCGTGATCGTTGTCGCTTAATTTTTGGTTTTAGTTCAACACGATAACTTTTGCACTCTACTCTCCAGAGTTGGAACTAGTAAGGAACATCTTTCTACCGACGAAAAAGTATTCTTACTAGTAGCGTGTAAGTGAGTGTGAGAGAAGGCAAGATGAATATTCTCAGTCAAACTCACAACATTTTAGTGCTTTTTCCAAGTTTTGTTTCAAGTGGAGTTCAGCAATAAATTTTTATTAGTCAAAATTAATAATTCTTATCAATCGATTATAAAAATTTAATAGAAAACGGTCAACAATAAAAACGATCACAATTGACAACTAAAAACCAGCTTATAATCGAGTGAAGATGATGTCGTTTCATTTTATTCTTGGTGAAGAAATAAAACTTGTTAATCCTATATCTTGCTGTTTTGAGCAAGGGTACATGACACTAATACATAATCATATAAAAACAAGATATTGGTCAATGACAAGAGGTATTCTTTGTGATTAAGTATCATCATTTAATTGATTTCAAGTATTTCATCACTATTTAGCATCTGGTCCAGATTTATTTTCTATTATATTATTTGCTTGGCGTCCTTATGTTTCAATAAGAAGTATTCAATCGTTTCGAAATTGGTAGCGATCTTATATGGAACAATGACGAATTAGAATAAGTATCATACACATAAGCTTTAGTGAAATAATCGATCTAAACATGAAATCATTACTAACTGGAAGAATTACAAAGATGACAAATGTTCTTAAGGATCCATATGTAAATTGAGTAAACAGTTTCAGATGATTCTTCAGAACAAAATGCTACCAGGGCAAACTGTTTCGTCCTTCCCGAAGGTTAGAACGCTAAGGCATCAGCGTGTTCTGTATTGATGATGTTCTCTGGTCTCTGTTTTATTCATAGAATACAAAGGATAACCGATTGCAAAACGTAAAAATTGTCGTACAGAAATATATTGGATAAAATTTAAGCGTGGGTAACTTATAATGATATCTCATGTAACTGTACAGAATATTGAAAGTTTTGATTAAGAAATCGTCTATAACTTGCGAGTTAGTGCATAATTTACCAGGAAGAGAAAAACCTTTGCCCTATAGGACAGGACAGAGCAGGATCTGGCACTAGGGTACACCTGTTCTGATGATGGTCTCTAATTCATACATATTAGAATCATCTCATTTAATTTTCGAACATGAAAATAATAATTTCAACCTTTAGTTAATTCTGTTATAATAAGAATAAATTGTGTTTTTGAAATTCTTTTTACTGAATTCTCACTATACGAAGATCACGATTTTCCATAATAAAAGATAAAATATCATTTGAATTACTTGATAATGATAGTCTTGAATGTATATTTATTGTTTTTAACAGCTTATCAGTTATCGAAGTGGGTTCTAAGAGAGAATAAACGTCATTTAAATCTATTTCTTATTTTAAAAAATATGAATATATTTTACTCCATCATATTCGATTAGAATTTGCAATTTTAATGCGAAATTTACAAGACATCTTTATCAAGTTTTATTAATTCCCAAAGATTTGTCGTTAGTGTCAGTCAGATTTCTATCTGTACGCATTCGTTACTTTTATCATTTTTCTATCATGTAATTCTAATTAATATTCTGCTGATGAGTTATCACCATGATTACCTAGTATTTCTCATTGGAATGTTGTTGATGAGCATCTGTTTTAGTTCATGATTTGGGTATATGAATTTTTGAGTGTGAATTTAACTGATTGTTTTAATACTAGAAACTCTCATGATTCAACTTGAAAATTTTCAGAAAATATTTGTATTATATAATAATCTGCATCTGGTAAATCTATTATTGTAAATTGACATATATTATCATTGATAGTGTATCCAACCTATACGGTTTATGTATGCAGGTGGTGATGGTCAGTTTTTCATAAACATGCTACACTCACATCCTCAGGTAGTCGTTCAAAGGTTAAATTTATTGTTTCACAGTCGAGAGTTCTATGCACACGACTTACGGTGACTGCATCGAAACGAACATTCATTTGTATTGATTTTAGTAAAAGTTTTCGTAAAATTGGTCATATATGCACTAATTATGTTACACCTGCAAAACTTCGTACTCTACCTAAATATTTGTACGATCCGAGTGATCGTAACTTAATAAATTCAAACATTGAAAACAACGTCATCATAAAAGAAATGAATGATGAAAATGAAATAAATCTTGCTATTACAAACAAAATGACCAACAAACAATTAAAGTTGACTCAATTCTGGAAATATTAATTAAGCGGGAAGTCTAATAGGTGCTGGTTGTTTTTTTCTTGTTCTATTTAAAGGATGATTTTTGATTTAAAGAAAATAAAATATATGATTACAATCAAATAACAAAGAGATCATAGTTTGCAAATAAGTCACAAGAGCTAGTTCACAATTACCAGTAACTCAAAAAGCAAGACACATTCCAATTTTTAGCTGATGAGTTAGAAAAATAAGAGCAGTAAATATCGAAAAAAAAATGCTAAGTTTTTCATAAAAACCATATTAGAAGACCATTCTCATTAGGTAGCTATCCAAAAATAAATGACGTAAACTTCCACAATAGAAGGCTATGACCTTCTATTCAAGTGCGAGTATCTTTTACTTAGCTCTTCTATTGTAAGTGACAGAGATAATGATATGTAATTGCACAAATATATGAAATTCTTTCATTTTGCCAAGTATAAAAATATTTTTACCGGCTACAAGTAGATATTATATTGGTTTTATTATGAGCGATAGAAAACGACAACGAAATTCAACGACAGATGACTGTAACGATGATGAAAGGAAAAAGTCAAAAAAAGGTTCTCCTTGTCCAGTAATAAGAAAAAATACGAATAGGTGAGTAATACATAAATGAATTTATTGTCATTACATCATTCTATTCAAGAGATTCAGTCGCTCATTTTGAGGATCTCTCAAATGAAGTTATTGACGAAATTTTTGAGTTTCTTGATGTTTATAATCTTTATGAAAGTTTTTTCGATCTTAATTCACGACTTCGAAATATTTTTACTAATTCAAATCTTCCGATTAAAATTAATATTTCCTCTTTATCTAAATCGTCTTTTCAAAATTACTATACTTATTTTATTATGCAGAATAAACATCGAATTCGTTCAATTAATTTATCAAATCCATTCATCATCAACTTCTTTTCTTCACCAACAGAAAATATTTCAAAATGTTCTCAACTTCAAGCACTTATTCTTAATGATATTGAATCGAAATGTTTGGAAAATCTACTTGTTCGTTTAGCTTATTTACCGAATTTTTCATCATTAGCCATTGTTGTTCCCAATGATTCAGATAAAAGTAACATTTATAGTCTAATATGTCAGTTACCAGTATTAAAATATTGCAAAATATCTTCGACAGAAAATATGGATTTCAGTTCATTACCTGTGTCTACCAATGATGTATCAAGTCCTATGAACATCTCGTTATTGACGATCAATGTGAATGCGCTGAAATTGATACAGTCAATGTTCCTAATAAGAACAGGTGTGTCAACACCCTCGGTTATTTTCTATTTTTCTCAAGCATTTCCCAACATAAAAAAATTATTTTTGCATTTCTGAGTAGAGGAGCACTTGGCGCATCCAATGATACAAAAATGAGCTAATTATCTCAAAAATTGATTGAGTAATTAGCGGTATATTTTTGAGAAGTGAANCAAGTTGTACCTGAAAATGTACAAAAATTTTAAAAATAAAAAGTGCTCGAATTTTGCATTTCCTGCACCTTACAAAAAATGTTTATGTTGTTTTGAAGATATTCGTTTAGCCATTGAAAAATAATCATCTTCATCTCAAATTAAATGGTTAAAAACAATACTAATAGAACATATTATTGAAAAATATAGTTTAATATTTTCTCATGAAAATCAAATAGAAAATCTTCGAAATATTTTAATGTAAATAAATGTAAGATTATTAATTTTATTAATTAATATGTTTGTTAGTCAATATATTGATCAAATAAATCAAGCTATTCATAAAAATAATAATATTGTTCCTGATTATAAAAAAATTAATAAAGAAAAGTTTCTTACAATTGTAAATGTAATGAGAAAAATACCACTAACTTAAGAAATTTTAGATCAATTATCTGATGCATCATTTGCAATTTGGGATACACTTCTATATGAAATAGAATTTTCTCAAATTTTTAATAGAGAAATGAATAAATGTGGTATTGAAAATAATGATAAGTTTTTAAAATTTTTTTTGAGAATATTTTAGAAAAAAATAAGTAAAACCGAAGGAGAAAAAAAATATTTAATAGTTAAATGACCTATTAAACATTATTCATTATCAAGAAATATCTTTTAAACAAGCAAATATCGTTATTCTTAAATCTGCTTATTTAAATTGGTATAAAGAAACAGAAAAAATACGTTTATCTCGTTATATAAATAACGATAAATATGATCGTTCAGCAAACGAAATAATTGAACAAATGATTGAGCAACAAAATAATAGTACTAATGTTATTTTAACAGAAATTCTTAGAAAAATTGCTGAAGAAACAGAAATATTTCGAGAAGAAGCTAAGGAAATTAATATAAGAAAAGGAGATGAAAAATCTTATATTAGTAAAAAAAAATTCAAAATATATTTAATCTTTCATCTTATCAAAATAATCCTGAAGAATATATTCGATCTCATTTAAACGAAATTACTCCATTAATACTTTATACTTGGTCAATTGCTAATAAACCTCAATTTCCAAATGATAATCAAATAATTGCTTTATTATTTTTTATTTATAGTTATGAAAAAGGTTTAATTGAACAAGTTCGAACAGGTGAAGGTAGAACTCTGATTGTAGGATTCACTGTTGCATTTTTCGCTTTATGTGGAAATGCTGTTGATATTGTTTCCACTAATCGTAATTTGGCCATAGAAGGAGAGAAGAAATGTCGCTCGTTTGGGTGTGGGCGTCTCTATTGTTCTCCTTCTACACCCACACCCAAAATTAATATATAATTTAAGAAGAGAATATTAAATTAATTTGTAAATCAAGCAATAGAGCATGTAGGAGTCGTTTCTATGACTGGATGCTTTAGTGGAATCGATTCATCGTTTGCCTCATCAAACAGGCGGTCGTGGGTTCGAATCTCACCAGCGGTACTATCATCCGCTGTAGCTCAGTAGGCAGAGCACCTGAAACAGAAATCGAGCTGCGCTCTCATCCAATTACTTTTATTTTTATTATCGCCTGCATGGAAAAATGTGGAGATTTCAATTCTTGAGAGAGAATAAAAACATTTAAGGGTGTGGGTAAGTGTGTCTGTAAATATGTCTTTATTGTTTTCCTTCTACACTCATACCCACACCCATTTTGTTCACATACTAGTATGATGATTATATTCTAACTATTCTGTAAACCTCTATCAAGAGCATTCTTGCAAGGCTGTGTGTAGTTTTTGTTTTTGAAAAAAGTTATACAGAAAAAAACTATCAGGATGAATATTGATGATAAATCACTCAGGTTTTGATAGGAAGAAGGAAAAGAGTTGTCTCAGAACTCTCCTACTGTTATTAGTGTATCATATCAATTTGAAATACTGTCATTCAATATAAAAGTTCCAGCTACGACAACGAAAATCATCAGAAAACTCTTATTTGATGTCTGTTTATCATTTGATTAGAATCATTATGTCATCAGTCGAACTGCGACAATCAATAATAATATGTGATATATTAACTGTTGCTACTGGTGGCGTACTGTAATCAATTCTTTAGATTGAAAGTTAATATGATCTTCTTTCCATTCATACGTACACTCATACTGATACACACATCCTTATAGCTTTTGTATTTCATATTATTTTTATTTCAAATAATCCGAACGAAGCTTAAATTGTGTTCACATAAATAAACGGTTTCTATATTCTTTTTGGACATTCATTACTGGGAACACAGATACTATTGGTACCATTATTTGTGTGTACATAACTTTGACGACAGAAACAGCCCTTGACACACTGTTCAGTGTAAAATTGGGGTTGGTAATCGCATGTTTCAACACAGGCTGAACCACAATCCGAGAATACCTCGTTTGTACCATAACATTGTTCGCGTCTGACGCATGTACCTTCCTTTGAACCATGGAAGCCTTTCTTACAGAAGTAACCCAATTTGCACATGTATATGGACATGTTGGACCACACGTCAAAAGTTCTGCATTCTGTTGACACACAGATAAATTTTGTCTTTGATGACATTCTTCCTTTTTGATGCATGGATTTCCACATTCGTTCGATTGTCGCACATATCCTTTCTTACAGAAGCATCCTGTACACTGTAAAAAAAAGCGTCGATCGATAAACGCTTACCCTTGATTTTGATTTTCATAAACCCTTGAAGGGTTTGTGCGACTGTCATAAACCTTTCAAGGCTTTATGATCCAAACGGCTTTTGACCTGTAGGGTACTTAGATTTTTAAAGGGTATATAAAACTGTTTTTAGGGTTTTGTATCCCAATATTTTATTCAAAGTATATATAACTAAACGGATACGGGTAGAATAATCTACGAATGTTCTGGAAAGGTTTATTATTTTTCGATCAGGGGTACATTAGTATACGATTAAGAAAAAATGGTTTCTTATTTCATCGTTAACCGTAGACTATTCTACACTTCCAGGATAAGCGTTCATTATAATACGTTGAAGGGTAGATTATTAGATCATGTCACTCTGGGGTATATTATCCTACCAGTGAGGGTAGATTAATGTGTACTTTCATGGAAAGGGTTTATACAAATGCGTTAAACGGTTCATTAGTGAGTGATATCGTCCACAAAGGTATTTTATTCTACGGTTGAGAATAGATTAATGCATGATTCTACCGAGATCGTTTACACTAATACGTTCAAAGATACATTACTATGAATCATCATTAATAAAGTTTATTATTTCCTTACAAACGGTTGATCGATATATGCTGTTACAAACGATCATTTAATAAGTTATCTTCACATTCGATAATAATATAATGAATTTTTGAAGGATATATAAGGATTTCGTTAAGTCTTTGAAGATTTACAATCTACTTTCTGATATAATTGTGATTTCAGGTGTTTTCACGCTGAAGCAAAGGCAAGAAAATGACTTATATTTTCGAAAAAATCTGTTTCTGGCCTTCATTAAGTTGATACTAGTTGTTTGAACTAAAAGTAGTTAATTTGTTTAGAAGGCGTAAAAAACAGTGTTTTCTGCCTCCAATCGGATTCTTTGAACGCATTTTGTCTGACTGTGTAAAAGTATTTATTCCACTGGCAATATATCAGAGTAAGAAAACTTGATGATCAGTATTTAATGGTTCAATAATTAACGTTTTTATCAAAACTAATTATTAATGAAAGATCAATGTTTTTTATTCGATGTTTTTAATAAAACAATTAAAGGATATAACTATTTCACAATAGGCATGCTAGCTGGCCTAATAGTTCAGCAATCTCACAATGGTTATGAAGTTATGGTTGTAAAATATTTCTAATCAATATTTTGCAATCTATCACGACATCCATGGAACAGATGTGCAATCATTAATTAGCATAAAATTCGATTGTTTTAGAACGATTGGAATGTCTAATATTATGCTCTATGATACTGAACAGCAAGAAATGTAAAGCGAACATGGAACACTATCCGCGCGCGTCGATTTATAATTATTTCAAAACTTCAATGAAGATTCAAAATTTGCAAAACAACACTAAAATGTTTGAAAAATGTTCTTTTTCTCGACTAAACTTTCGTATTTTCTAGTGGATGTTGTGATTGTGAAATAGAATTCAAAAAAATTATGATGAATGAGGATTACGTTAGTGTTAGAACTAATTTACTGAAAACTTGTCCCAATTTTTCTTCCGAGGAACCGTACTTTGTGACAAATGTTGATTTAGAGAAAGTCAAAAGCTAAGTACACCATATGCTTTGTCACTCATTATTCGTATTGTACTTGGTAAAAGTGAGTATCCAAGCAGACAAAAACATTCATGTGATGGCCACGATGAGCCCTCGAAAATGTCATATATATATTTTTGTCCGTTCTGTTTCGATTTCGAGTCCATTGGAGGGTGTGGGTGTGGGTGGTGGGTGTGGGTGGGGTGTGGGTGTGGGTGTGTGGATGTGGGTGTGGGTGTGGGCGTGGGTGTGGGTATGATTGTAGGTATGCGTCTTCTTTTAATACCCACAACCGCACCCCACGCCCACACCCACACCCACACCCACACCCACCCACACCCACACCCTTTAAGTATTCATAGCTCATATAGATATAGTTTTCTAAGATTCACTCTTGGTTTACCTATAAACCAACTCAAATACTTAAAACCATTGAGTTTCAGCTTCGAAAGTATATTTAAAAACGAACAACTCATGAAAATTTATAGTTTCTCAATAACTGATTTCTACTCCGAATATTCTGAATAGAACTTAAAAAGAACTAATGTGATTTTATGATCCTATAGATAATTCACAATGATGAAGTGACTTTCGTTTTTTTTCTTGAGAAATTAAAAGTATACTCTGGAGGTTTATTCCAAGAGTAACAGATAAAACATGCTATATTCCGTAAAAATTCCAACTTTGTTTCTTCTGATAAATTTTCTTACTGTCAAAACATTGAAGAAACAAACAGATATGTAGCCGTCTGACTAGTATCTTCAATACCCTCTTTGAACCGCAACCGATTTCGGTCCAATCGATCCTCATCTGTTTTTACTAGTTAAAAGATTTTTCTATGCAGAAAACTTTCTCGTAGGCCTCCTCAGAATTAAGTGGGAAATGGACTTTACAAATGTCTAGATATGGAGTTTTTTTCTGAGTAAAATATGTCAAGTGTAAGTTCAAGTTATTCATTAAAGCAATTGTATTGTTTCAAAAATCATCAGCTTTTAGTTTCTTCTGCTTGTATAAATTTTTTTCTTTAATCATTATTTATTTTGTGTCGTCAAGAACACAACTAAACTTCTCAATTTATTTCATCGCTACTGTGTGAGTGACGGAATTAAGGTAAAACTCTGGTTCAAAAAGAAATATTCAGTTATTGTGTAATATCTAAGTAAAAATATTAAAAATTAGCAATCATTTGTTCGATACATAACTTTTTTTCGCAAGAGAAACATAGTATACTTATTTCTGAGAAAAATTACAAGTATAAATGAAAGCAATATTATTATTCTTCTTTTTGAATATTGATAAAAATTGTAAATCTTTTGAACTACCAGGACCGATAACACTAGACCAGTTTCATCTTTGGTATGAGGCTGGAGTGTATATTGATGTGTATCCGGATACATACTCACTCTAAAAAGTTTCCTCCATCATGTGTTAAAATTTCATTGTTCGTTATACTTTTTAACGAAATTTTTTCGTTGAGAGCTTATTTCCTTTGATGAAAACAATTACTTCTCGACAAGAGATAGTAAATCAAAATATTTCAGAAATTATATATTCCTCTATAGACACCTCACAGTAAAAATTTCAACTAGATGCATGAAGTCTGCTAAAAGTTACCTTGAAATTATAGGTCAAAATTTAGCTGTTCATGCGTTCCAAATTTCTCTAGCACTTCAAATGTCATCAAGTTCTGGTCGTTTCTAAAAGTGTGATCAAAATGTGCTAATACGAATTAATAGAGCTCGATTTTTCGATTTTCTTCTAGCTAGTGCTTCTAGAAAACTCCTCTGATGAAATTCGGCTTATAGAGATACACAAGAGCTTTGAAGCTGTTTCTTCATCATTCTGAATGCTGATTTAACATTTATTAGATAACTGATCATTAAAAAATGATACTAGCATACGAAAAATGTCTAAAACACAAATCAATTCGAACAAACTAACATTGTTTTCAAGAGTTGAGGGTATATCTCGCATTCCCAAGTTTCATCAGATTTCCAGGAAAATCGCAAAATACATCTACTGTATAGTTCTTTGTAGTCCCTTGTAATCCATGGTAACTTTTTTAGAATTGTTTTTTT